TTGCGATTTCGCATAAACGCCGGAATTATAACCACCACTAAAAGCATGTACACAATCATCAACAGTGCCATCGATAGGGCCGACGGGTGCACTAAAAAGTAGTTTCTGGTCCGCGGATCGGACGGTAGATCCCAATACTCGTGCAGCCAATAGAAGGCGGATGTGTTGTGGCCGACCAGTCGGGCCAATTGGTCCACCAAATAATAGTCGATCTCTTTATCCATATTTAGTTAGTTTTTGATTAGATATGAATTCACAGAATATTTTTTGATGAATTTAGTTGTGAAATGCTTTCCACGCGTTTGCTTCACAACTCGTAAGTTCACTGTTTGTAGAGAAGAAATTAATGCCAACTTTTATGGTTAACACTAAAGTATTTAATGATTTTCATATATATGGAGAAAAATTTCGTACAAATAAAAGAAATGACTCTTTCGAAGGAAAATCACATTGAATTTTAATAATAAGTTTAGAAAATTCACAAGAAATGAGAGATAATTTAATTTTTAACAAATTGTATGAAAAACTAACCTTCGGTAAATAATATAAAGTAGTAATAAATGGTTTCCTATTTTTTAAACGTATTGTGTTATTAAAAATACTCGTTATGAGGACACGAATCATAAATAAATTTCTCTTTGACCCATTTCAATCATTTTAAATCATTTCAATCACTTCCTTGTCTTAAGCAGAGTAGGTATTCATAACTGACTACACTTTCACGTATTGGTGTTCAATCTGTTTTAGTGTATCACAGCTACACATTCACAGTAGGCAATAAAAAGGTGGCGCAACGGCCAGTAAACAAGTTTAAATTGTCAGTTTTAAACAAGAAACACCGCGTGCAGGTCAACCTAACAATGTCTCACCCATTGTTAACTACAATTCAGTTATGAATAATGTGGTTAAAGGATTGTTCAGCCCCCTCTCTATCAGATTTGTGGTTAACATATAGGATCGCTGTGTGAACCTTGTTTTATAGTGGTTGGCTTTCAGTCTTCAGTCAGTCAGGCTTCCACAAACTTAATTTAAAACAAAATTTAATTGTTGATTACACATTTTAATGAGATTTGTGATAGTGTTTGCGATAATCAACAATAATTGTTTAAAATAAAATAAATAATAATTATAAATAACAATAATAATTTTATAAATATTTGACTCAATCGTATTTGATGACCATATTTTCAAACGTGATCGCAATGTTTTTGCGCATAATTATGTATAAAGTATTATATTCAAGTTAGATATTTTAGTTGGACATGTGGCTACACTAAGTGTAGCGGCTACACTAGATTGAACACCAATAAAGTTTAACGTGTGTTTGTATTTACGTCTAAATCTATTTGTGTTCATGACGTCACTCACAAAAGTGATTGAATGTGACTAAATAGAAATACAGGTTCAGGTGTACAACATTCAGGTGCATAAATAGTTGTTCTATGAATTTAAGGGATCAACTTTTATCAGCGTTAATCTTTTGATAACAACGGAACTTCCGATTAATAACAGCTTTGATTCAAAATGATAACAAATTTTGAACAAATATATTACTTTTGAATAGAAATAGTTTTCTTATGGGAGGATAAATAGGTACATGTGTTATGCGAACGTACTTTTCTTTAAATGACTAAATGCGAACAGGTGCGGACATAAGGGGGGAGGGGGTATAGATTTCACTAAAAGTGCGAACGTACTTTGCGAACAACGCCTAATAAAGTTTTGATTAATCTATTATTCGCTCAAAGGTTTGAGGCATTCCTCCAATATATTGGGCACGTCTTCTAAAACTCATTTTTACCCACAGTTTGAAACTCTTCAGCCTTTTAGTAGGCAAAGGGTTTCTGTTTAGAGTTCATAGCATTAGTAATGATAAGTTGATTGCAGTGTAATATTGTGTGTAAGGTTAACCTGGTACAAACACGTGGCACGTGTGGCCGCATTCATGTGTATATTGTGTGCACTAATTGTACGCACTTTCGATGCAATTAGTCATTCATTGCACTGAATGTGGCATTAATTGTGTGATGAAGTGTTCGAAAACCCGTTTCCACTTCAATCACTCCATTCGAGCGTCACTTCTATTAACGTCACGTAATTTGTGAATCACTTTCTCATCACTCAATCGTTTGAATCATTTTTAAATGATTTGTGAAAACAATATAACATTTGTCGCCAAAAGTTGAGACCAATTGACACAAAAGCCAAACCATTTGAAAGACAATGGATTCACACATTTGAGCCAATAATGGACGGCACAAGTGGTCACTCGGAGGACGACAACTATGACTACATCTCTGCCATCGATAAGAGGCTTAAAAGCGAAGGACAACAACAACAGCGCGAATCTGTTGTCCGCGAGAGTGGACCTAAAAGTAAGACCACTTCTTCTTCTTCGCCCACCCATGAAGTGGTGACTCTGAGCTCATCCGAAGATTCGGACTCTGACTCTGACGATGATTGTGAGGTCATTGATGACAATCGCACCGCCGATGACGGGACTCGAAGTGGCGCCGAGGCTGTGGTGCGGCCGTCTGTTCTCGTGATCGCAGATGTGTCCACTCGTTTGCCACCAAATGTTGCCAAAGAGGTGCCCAAAGAGACCCACGAGGAAGAGTCAGTCAAAGAGGTGTCCAAACTGACCAACGAAGAAGAGTTAGCCAAAGATGCGCCCAATAATAATGTGGCCAATAGTATGCCCGAAGAGGCCGTTCCCGAAGAGGTGTACAACGAGTTGGTGAAAGAGACGAGCGAAGGGGTCGCCGGGGATGTGGCCAAAGAGGCGGCCAATGAGACACAGCCGGTGATTGTCCGCAGATCTTCAGCCGAAGGGTTTGACAAGAGGTTTATGGAGTCATTGAGTCGACGAATGACACCAATGAAAGCAGAAGTGAAAGCGGAAGTGAAGCCAAATGTAGCGATTAATTGCAAAACTGAATCCATTGATAAGAAGCCTCTGATTCGTTACATCGATGTAAAGCCCATTAAGATTGAGGGATATTTCGATTCCGAAACAATGACAACAAACAAATTGGATGCAAACAATGACACAAAGCCTGACATTAAGACAGTTATTACAAAGACTGTTAAATCCGATTGTAATGAATACCATTCAAAAGAGCCATTCAATGATACAAATAGCGATCATTTGGGAACAAACGGATCAATTGATGAGTCGTCTCCGATAGACAGCGATGATACCAATGGTAAGACACCATTCATTTATCTGTTTGTTTGTTAATATAAGTTAATTGCAAATTATTTTAAATTGTATTAATTTGTAAAATGCTATTTATTTGGTTGTATACATGATATTATTTTGCGAAGAGTTGTTATTGTAATGCAATATTGATATCATATTTAGCTGTTGTGCTAATAGTTATAACAGCTTCTCAGATATACAGATGTGAGACGTGGTGAGATGTGCGAAATAGGGCTCAACTCGTAGCTACTGACACATATCAATCATATGTAGAGTTTGGGAAGTTTGTTGCCATAGAAGAATACAGTGAATGAATGCATTGGTTTGGCTGTAATGAATACTTTGGCAGACTTTGCATTTATAATGAATACTCAAATTGATTACATGTAATATAAGAGTGGTTTGAAAAAAGTTTTATTTCCTTAACATTATTTTTATAGCTTTTGATATCCAATGCTATTTTGTTAAATAAAATAACTATAAATGTTGCCAAATATAATATACAGTATAACAAGTGCTAAACAAACCGACAAATGAGTGTTTTATATAAAATATGAATTAATTAAAATAGTGTGTAAAATCCTGCATATTAATTGAGTAATCTTTTGAAGGGGTTTGCGATAAACTTTAAAAAAATAGAATATTGAAATTGTATAATTTGCATCTTGATAACTTTAATCATTTATCTATATATTTATTGCTATATGTGCTAAAATTTTATATTAAAGAGGAAACATTGAATTTATAAACATAAAAGATTTAACCATTAAATTAACACATTGTGGTGAATCTATACTGTTTTGAATAAGTTATAGTTAACACTTATAGCGATATCAATATTAATAATTAGTGTGTAATTTGAATGTATTATAGGTTTGAGAGTATTCTTGAAGAACATATTTGAAAATATAGAATTAATTACATTTTAGGTTTAATGGAGATAATTGAGCATGTTGACAGTTTGCATTCACTTATTGCAGGTTCAAAAATAGTTTATTTTTGCCTTTTTGACATCAATTTATTTATTGCAATATTTTGAATGATTTATATGTTTTTGAGAATATTTTTTAAGTATTTTATATGAAATTTTATGTGAAACTCGAATTTCAATATTTGATGTTTGTTTTGATCTAAAAGGGAGTATAGAATCGGATTGGGATGACAATTCTGACAGCAATAATGCTAACGATTCCGACCATAAGATTCTGTCGGCCATCGATAAGATCCGATTCCAAAAGCAAAAGCCGACATTTCAGCGCATTTTTGAGAAATTTAAGAAACGAGACTTGAATTGTCTTTTGGCCGACCAAATGCTCGAATGTCGGGACGCTATCAGAAGCGCAGTCGACAGGAGTGTCATCAAAGAGGTTGAGGACAAAGATCACAACGACGTCTCTTATCTGCCATTTGATTATGTGGTCAAAAGAGGGCCAACTTCTCAATCTTCGAGTAGTAGTCAAACTGTAAATATATCTAAAGACAAACCGCCGAAGAAGAGAAGAAAGCTATGCTCTGATGGAAACACAAGCAGAAGGAACTGTTCAATCGATTCCAGCAATTACTCGATTGAATCGGATTTTGATACTTATAAGCCGAAAGAGAAGACCAAAACTGATGGCTCTGTTATGTCCACCTCTTCTTCTTTCTTTGCGGACAACGAAATGGATTCGAGTTCAGTCGCCTCAGCCTCTGTCTCACAGTCGACCCCTTCCTCCTCTGCGTCTCTCAATTTACCGAAGAAATCAGTGGATCTTTCGATGAAAATGCAACCAAAAAGTGCAAAAAGGAGTCTTTCGGCTGAAGAAAGAGAAGTGCAAATGTCTCGTTACGACTTTGCCGACTGGGTATCGGAGACTTTGCCACAACAGTCGCCATTCATTGGCCAAACGGGCGATCGTGTCGTTTACTTAAGAGACGCTCACTTGGAATACATGGCCGAAGAGCTCGAACCACTTAAAGCACATTACGAGCGCTTCAAATGCAGTTACAAACAGATTACGGCTGACATTAAAAGCGATGATTACATAATATACGCCAAAATAGCAGACATTAAGTTCTATCAAATCGATTTCATTCAGTTTTCAGTCATTTATTTGGAGAGCGTATCGCTTGAAAAGCCGTTTCAATTCACTGTATTGTATCGACCGAACCGTAAAGTCAACGACTTTTTAGTATTGGAGAAAATGTATTTAAATCCGGAGAACAACGTGTGGACCACGGGATCAAAGTTCAAGTCACTCATCCGCACCAAACGCATCACGTGGTGGATGGGAGCCATCAAAAGGAGGTCTGCATTCAAACATAGATATCCCGATTCGCTGTATAAGTGTTTCGAAGTGGTCTGGAATAACGGCGACAAAGGGAGACTCAGTCCGTGGGAAATGTTTGAAGTCGAGCCGTCACTCACCGGCAAACTGAATGGCATTCGCGTTTCGCCACAGGATTTTCTTGCGTTGAATTATAAGCCCTCAGTCACCGAATGGCCAGAAGTGGAAAACATTGAGTTTAATCTCTGGCGCTGTTATGAATGCAAACGAATCTATTCTGGCATTAAGTTTCTCGAAGAACGCGTTCACAAAGGATTATTCAATCTATTCAAAGACTTGCGACAACGCGAAGAGATTGCATATCCTATTACTATAAAAAGCATTAAGGATAGACTCAAGAATATGTTTTACCGACGAAAGTCTGCCGTCGTTTCGGACATTAAATTATTGCGAATTAACGCACGATTAGGGCTGAAGAAGAATGAGTTGCAATTTTGCGACGATTTTATTGAATTACTTCTTAATATTATTAATGATTGTAAAGCCATTAGTGGGAACCAATTCGCGCCGTATATCAAGAAATATCATCACATATTTGAGTCGAATATTCACACCGATAGTCATGTTTCGGGCATTTTTAAGGAGCATTCATACGACAAACCCATCCCATCGTCGCTCACCACTCCTGAAGTGCGACCGAAAACTAATCCATCAAACAATAAGAGCCAAACCGTATCAAAGTCTTCAGCGCAGTCTTCGAACACAATTAAAGTATGTCTCGAATGCAATGCTTTTATATATTTATAACGTTTTGTTTATTAACAGAAACGCCGGAAACGAACCGCAAGTGAGAGTCAGGTGACGGCGAAGAAGGTTGAGATAACCGAAAGCCAAACGTGGAAAACGGATTCATTGAAATTCATTGACGATCTCTTCCGAGTCGAAGAATTCCAACCATTCAGAGAAGCCGTTGACAACAATGTATATCCCCTTTATCTGACAGTCATCTCAAATCCCATGGATTTAAGTCTAATTCAACACAAATTGACGACCGATGCATATGTGAACCCAAAGGAAGTGAGAGAAGATTTTCGGCTGATATGCGACAACTCTAAGCTCTTCAATAAGAACGCCAAATCGGCGATCCGTCAGATCACTAAACGACTGTCCACTAAATGTGAGGACCGAATGCGCGAAATCATAGTCGACTGGGAAAGGGTTCTCCATTACGAACACAAACAGAAGGAGAGGCCGGGTTATGGAGTGCGAGAGCCCACCTCTCGCAACCAGTTGTGGGGATACGGCGCTCAACAGTACTACTAAAACATTTTACAATAATTCATAAGTTTCTCATTATTTCAGATCTTAACTCATTAATACAAATGCAAAGTCATTCATAAAAAGAAATCTTATTTGACTAAACGATAAGTTGTGATACAAATGCAAATTATAGTTATTTTTAAAAATGTGATATTAAGTGTCAGTTTATAAGTCAGTTCTTAGCTATTTTTTATAAATATTGTGTAAAATATATCATTATTATATTATTATTAATGCCAACAAAATTCTGAAACAATTTTTGCCTCATTTGAAATGATTTATTTCATTTGTTTGTTTTTTTCATTTGATAAATATATTTGTAAAATCCTTTAATATATAATATTATTACCTTTAAACTGAATTTGTAAATACTATAAATGTATGAATCTATTGGTTTGAAGTGATTATTATTCCTCTATTTCATAACGTAATCTCATTATTTCTAATATTTATATTTCTATAAACTTGTATTTTAAATGGCATTAAATATAAAATATATGGATCTGATATTGTATTGAATATTGTATTCTCCAATATAACATCATTTAAATCATATTAAATGCTCGTTTCAAATATTATACGTAATTGTGTTCAGTTTTATTGCTAATTAAACGGTTTGTTGTCTATTACATGAAAATTAGTGAAGTTTAATTACATGTTATGTTTATGTAATGACAAACTATTACATAACTAATTGCATTAGATTACCCACTTGTTATTCCACCAGTTATATCATTAGTAATGCTAAATACAGTAGATTATTAATTGTTTAATTGAATATACAGTGTATAGAATTGTTTGAATTTTATACACCATTTGAGTCGATTGTAATGCCTTATTAAAATACTTAAAATAAACGTGATGCACTATAATCTAGATTGAAATTCTAAAACAATAGCTGTAATATTATGATTGTACTATTTGTGTGAGTGTTGTAACAATTAATATGCAATAGTTTGGCTACGATTTATGATTTAGAAGTGAATACACTCTTTTTGATCATTTTATTGCTACTAAATTTAGTCAATTAATTTACTAAAGTATAATATTTAACGAACCAATTACAATTTTTTAAAATAAACTACCTGCATTTGTTATATATTTCTTATCTATAAAACAGTATAACATTGATAGTGTATTTGTGTTACTAATTTATAAAAACCTTTTGGCTGTTAATATTACGGTTAGTATTATATGTTAACAAACGGGGAATCAGTGCTTAACTCATTGAAAAGAATTTTAATTAACGATTCAGCGCTTTATTGATACAAATACTTACAAAAAATTGAAAAATAATTAGAAAATTACAATAATTACTATTATTAATTAGCAATAATTAGCAACAAAATACAGCCATTTCTGTTTTTATGTTCAAATTCAAGTTTCAAATTAAATTCATTCATGATTATTACCAGCGAAAACAGTTCGTGTGATTATAACAAATCACATCACATCTACTTTTACACAATTACTGTGTTATTAAATATGATTTTTCCAAAGTTATGCGAATAAAAACAGAGTAAAACTAATACTTTAATTGACATTTTGTATATCATTGAGAACCCACTCAAAGCCCATTGAATGCAATTAATCTTTGCATCTCTTATCAGTCGTCAATACGACCCACTGTTTCATGCATTGAATG